TCGAGTCTGCCACGTGGCAAGGAAGATGGGGTTTGGGGATGGCTTGAGGTTGACGGATTTGGGGCTAGAGCCCGAAACCCGAAACCATTGGGGGGTTGAGGTTTAGGGTTGGTGAGTTCATGCAGATGGGTTTGGATTCTGCCTTCTAGGATATTGTGCTCTCTTAAGTAGTAGAAGTTGCCGTGTTTGGAACCTAGAATCTGACGGTAGCAGTGTGGAAGTTTGGGATATGGCTCCGGCTTTTCGGCGGGTTTTTCTGAGTTGGGGATGCGGGTCCGGACACAGCTTGCTTTTTCGGAACTGTAGCCTCCGAAAAAACGCGCCGGCAGTGCGATAAGCCTTCGGATGGGGCATATGTATGTGCTTCTTCCAGGTTGTCGGTGTTGGGCATTAATATACAAGCCTAAATAATTACCAAAATTATTGTTAGGGTTCCTTATGATACTTATAGTATAATGGGTCCCAAAACCCTATTCTAATTATTAAGGCCCCTATATTAAAAGCTCGCGCATGGCGGCGTCTGCTCCTGCCCCACGGGGGCTTTTCTTACCTTTGGTTAGTAGGGAATGGAAGAATGGTAGTAATGGTAGTAATAGTAGTTAGACTTGTACCCCACTCCTCCATTCCTTCCTAACCAAAGGTAAGTTTTTGAAAAAAATGGTGGACATGGCCGATGCAAAAGCAAAGAGGACCCAAAGAAGCTGATGGGGGATTTAGGCCGAAGCCCTGGGCCTAAGCCATGCTACTAAGTTCAGCCCCGGCGCCTCCGGACTTACTTACCTTTGGTTAGTAGGGAATGGAGGAATGGGGTACAATCATAACTACTATTACTACCAGTCTTCCATTCCCTACTAACCAAAGGTAAGCTTAAGGCTCTAAGCAACCTTACCGCTGCATGCTTTCAAGCCATGAGCCCGTAGGAAGCGACCCTCGTAGACTCTTCCTCAACGCGTTGTGGGCCCATCAATCCCTTTATGAACCCTTTCCTAGGATACAGGCTAACATGGTGTCGGCTCAACCTCAAGCCTGCGTGAATTGTGCAAAACTACATACCATAAAGCCATGCGATGCTAGAAATGCTATACTATATCGCACTGTACCATACTCTTCAGGTGGACCTTCTCCGGGATGGCTCGGGCAGAGCTACTGGCGAAGCGGTGATCATCTTTGCAGCCATGTATCGTCGGCCTCATTGTGCAACCATCATAGTGGGGACATGAGTAGTTTCCCTACAGTTACGTTGACCGCACGCGTCGGGTCTACGTGCTGTTGCTAAATAGGCTGCATGGTACCCATCCAGCTACAGATTGTAGGCCCGATGTGTTATCGGCGGAAGGCTAACGCACTTGATGGTGGCCTAGATACGAAACCTCATGGCTGCTTGGATGGCAGGGTTGGGTTGAGGCCGGTAGGCTTTGGGTTCCAGAGTATCAAGGGCTCCGCCCTTTAAAGGTCTGCGCGCAAAGCGCCACGACCTCATCCGCCGTAAACTCGTGACCCGCAGGCACTTTACTTAATTTCTTTAGAAACCGCCGGCAAGTTTTGTTAAGCTAAGCCCAAAACCCCAAAGCTCTGATCGCTCTTCCCTAGCCCTGCAAGCCCAAACCGTAAGACTGAACATGACGAAGCTGAAACCCTCATGCTTGCCCTTGGCCTGCAAGACATCCCTAGTGACATAGTGCCAACATCCTCATTTCCAACGTCCTAAGGTGCATCAATCATGTACACCCTGAGATCCTCAAGCCCCTGCTGCTTGATGTAGAGGTCTATGTACCCAGTTAACATTAGCTAACACTGTCCCCTTACAATCTCCGCAACACTTCATATATAACTATACTGGGATACCAATAGGTTACGGTCCCTACCCCTTCATCCCCTGAGACCACGGACCCGGCCAGGCCTGACGCCCAGAATGCGGTGCGCCGTTACCACGGCGGAGACCTCAACGGCCGACGCCTGGAGGCGGGAGGGTTTCCCTGGTCCCGAAAAGCATGTCCTTTGTAACAAGGATTTATTTCAAAGCCCATAAAAGGTGGGTTATTTGGGGCTAGGGTTGTTCTCGTGCAGTTGTAAGATCTACACCTGCTGCACTACAAAGTCGTGCGATTTTTTTACGAAAGAAGAACGGCAGGGAAAGACGCGTGAACAAACCCGAAACCGGAACCCCTTCGAAAAACATGCGGCCTGGACCGACGCGGTGCTTAATTTCGGTGCAGGGGTGGCTTCTCCTGGGTCTCACGCACCCTAAGCCCAACAAGCCAAGTTTGTGGGGCATTGTCGGGCTAGAGGCCCAGTTCTCGTGAGGTCGAAGAAGCTCAAACTCTCGAGCCATGATGTGGAGAAGGAGCAAGTATCTACTTAAAGGGTCATGGGACTTAGTAACCAGGGTAAGATAATTGTACTTATATTTACTTGTAACCCCAATTAAGGTACTTATCACCGTACTTACTAAGTCCCATGATCCTCCAAGTATGGCCACACTGAGAAGAATGCTATTCGCATGCAGTGTCTGATATTGGGGAATGGAAACAAGTCTCGGGGTCTAGGAAACGTCGCTTCACCGCCGAAATACGGGATGCGAGACATGCTTGGCGCCGGAGTCTTCCAAGCCCCATATGATGAACAACCTAGAGCTGTGAATTTGCGGCATTGCGGCGAGTACAATCTTGTGACCAGTTGTGCGTGTTTGAAAAACATTTCCATCCTGGGACCCTGGGCCCTGAGTTTGCACTCGGGTAGCAAGATTCACGGTGAGATAAAGAAGCCAAATGAGAAGAGTCGTCATGATCGTAAGCTATGAGGGCCACGAAAGGATGAAAGATCTAGTTTGGTGGGTCCGAAGTTGCTGGTGCAGGCTGTCTACGAGGGCGAGGTCAATACGAGTTCCAAACGGTGATCGGCATGGCTTCGGTGTAGATGGCGTTTGACATCAGTCGGAAAGGCTGACCCCAGAGCCAACAGTGCCCAGGTTTCTACACCCAGCTGCACAGCTACTGCATCTAAAGCCTACTGCCTTGAGCATGCTAATAAGGAAAACATTTTGCTGATAGCCCGTCGTGAGATCCTTGCGTGTACCTCGCCCCGATCGTCTACAATGACTTCTTGCCTAAATCATTGAGCCACAACAACCCAAATCGATTGAGCCCTAAACCCCCGTTTCGAACGATCATGAATCAACTGACCCAGTTATCATAATAAGGTAGATAATTTATCTGCCATGGCATGCTTTGGAGCACGCTTCCATCCAGAAGCTCTATGGCCCCCAAACCTTAAGCCGCGGCAGTGAGGCGTTCAGGGCTTCTCCCCCAACAAAAACCGAGCGCGAACCCTGAAGACTAGACCGCTGTGGCAGCTGATTCTGGGGGTGAACCTGGGAAACAGCACTTGGCTGATCCACATGCAGGGTTGCATCGGACAGGGACGGAGGCCTGGGAACACCTTTATCCCTTGCATGGAGCTCTCAGACACCATCTTCGTCCCCGTCCCGAAAGGGCAGAGCTCAGGAGAAGAACAGGGATTCCATGAGCTTCGGTTCTTTGAATGCCTGAATCCTTAATTGCAGCCATTCGCAGCGCACCGAGCACTCGGCATAACTTGTACATTGTACTGCCGCAGCAAGCCAAAGACCCACCCCAGGCCCGAGACCCTTAACCCTGAATTCCGAAGTGGGAAGCCAAGGATGGATCCAGTATGATAGGCGTTAGGAATTCGTTTTGGGTTTAGGGTTTATGGCATACGGTGTTGGTTTAATAGTTTTGGTTTAGGCTCTGTCGGGAAGATTTCAGTAATTAACTGTTGCAGTTTAGGGTTCGTCAGGTTCGTGTGTCCGGGCAGTTCTTCACTCTTCGGCTCCGCTTGACACCAGCCATCAGATCTTAAATAAGTACCACATTGGAGGGCCTGGTGTCATAGCTATCATTGTCTTAGACTGCACGGGAGAGCTGTAAGCTGTGAACCATGCGAGAAGCAGAAGCTTCCAGGGCACGGATACGGTAGGAATCTACTTGCCTCAACAGGGGCAATGCGTAAGTACGGTTGATGATATAAATCCTGCATTAGCCCATAATAAGGAATATACCATAATTCCCATAGTTTTGGGTCCTTGAGGTAATGCAGGATTTATATCATCAACCGTATGACTCGAAGAACATCACCCATGAGGCTTCCACACCGGAACTTAGGGCACTTCGGGTTCCTGAGCTTCGCCTTGCACCTCTGCCAGCAACAGAGGACAGGTATGGGCCGAGCAGCACCCTAAACAACCCTAAACACCAGGTCGAGTCCTGCGCTGGACCTTAAGCCCTAAATGGGAGTTTCCGAAGTTAGGGGCAGCTTATTTTGGGAGTCCTTATAATAAGGATCCTACAATTTAGGGTACGATATTAGGGTCCACTAGTTTCGGAAACTCCCAAATCCAAAACCCCCACCCCTAAACCTTGATCCTCAAAGCAGCCGCTACAGACAGCGCTTTTCAGCCCCTACCTCGCCTGCTCTTTGCAAGCTGCGCATGGACTGACGGCATGAGTTCGTGGAGCAGCGGCAAAAACGAGATCCCTCGGAGGCGCAGAGGGTTTAAGGCTTTAGGGTGCGTTTAGGGTTTAGGTTTTAGGGGTTTAGGGGTTTAGGGTTCAGGGTTCGGTGTAGTGGTGTAGGGTGTTTGGACCTATAGACCCGGAGAGCACAATACCCTTATCCAGTGTCCTGACGACCTGGGGGTTACGTGATCAGGGGTGTTGAAGCTGCTGAGAAGATTAAGACTTAGCATTTGGACTGCTCGATATTCACTGTGCCCTTTTGGCTTATGCAAGTTTGCACATGCTTTCATGCTCCGCTAGCTTGATCTTGTTAATCGTGCAAGTACGATCATTTGTGCCATGCATTCACCAGTCGAAATAGCAAGCAAGAGCTTGTGCGAAACTGCAGACCGGAGGCATAGACCAGCTCTCAGTGTTGCAGTTTCTACACTTCTCTGAAGAATCAAAACAAGCCCTCCTCCGGCCATGTCACTGCTCGCGGAGGTCGGCGTGCTTTGCTTTTTGGGATTGCTGCCTCTGACAGCGTTCGACAAGTGTCCTTTCTTCCGGGAGCGCACATCGCAAAACAGTGGCACTGCTCAAGCTGGATCCCGCAAGTGACAGAACCGAAGACGCATGTGTTGCATGCAGACCACGCTGTCCGATCAATGCCTGGTCTGCCCGAAGCCCTATACAGCTTAACAGCTTCTCTTCGGTTGCGAGGCGTTTGCCCTGGGTGCCGCAGCGCCAGCGCCAACGCTGCCCGCCACGAGGCTGCGCGCATCTTGAATCCTGGACCTTTCGCAGCGATCACACTGAGCCCAGAGCCTTCAAATCCTGCACCCCAAGCCGTAAATCCTCACACTCTGAGCCACTGCAATTTAAATGCCATTGAAACCTCAATGCGCAATGCTCTACAACCCTGAACCCCTAAACCACCGTACCTACATCCCAAACGGCCAGGCTTGCCGCAAGGCGCAGGGCAGCACGTGAAGCTCCCCATCGAGGTGGTACTTTGGAACGGACCATCAGTTTTAGTAGACGGTTCGACGCCCCGAACCGTCCAATGAAAAAGACCCTGAGCCCGGAGCCACCCCCCTCCCATCCAAGCCAGGTGCGCCGTCGGCGCGCGCGGCTGCCGCCACTGTCTTGGTTGCCGGCGTTGTGGCAAAGAGGCCGCGGGAAAGCGAGGGTACAGCGTAACGCTTACCTGGGTTCTGGAGTGCCATGCAGCCGCACAAGCTCGTCGGGAAATCTTGCAAGGCTATGGCCCTGAGCCATACACCGTAAGCGCTAAGTTCCTGAAGCTGCAGGCCCAGTCGTCTCAGATGTAGGGTCACCTTCTACCGCCACAAACCCTACACCCTAGACCCACAATCTCAAAACGCTAAGCCCTAAATTTTAGATCGCAAAACCCTAAACTGTAAACCCCAAGCTTAGAGTTCGGCACTACGTCCCGGACCCAAGGACCCGAACCCTCGACTTCGAGCCCTGAACCCTTCCGCCAGAGTGGCCAGGCGCATGGCGGACACGCGTGCGACTGCGGTGTCTATGAGGGTGGGGTCAGGGGTTTGAGGGATTTAGGATTCGGTGTGTCTGGTTTAGGAGGGGTTTCCGGGCGACAGTCACCACCCAACAACAGTAACCACGAACCACAAAGACAAGTCAATTAGCACCTGTAGTGATGTAGTGAAATCGCCTGCTGTGGTTCGATTGCCGCACTGCCTAAGCTTTAAATCCTCAATCTCCAAAGCCTCAAGCACTCAAAGCCCCAAGGCAGCCAAGTCGAAGATCAAATGCCCAAAGGCCAAACCACGAAAGCCCCCCAAAGCCAAAGAGACTGAAGTTTCAGGGCCCAAGAAGCGCAGCGCCCCGAACCAATCAAAAACCCAAGCCGAAACCCTCAAGAATCATCCATAAGAATCTGCCCCATGCTTACCAAAGGACGTCTTTATGGGTGGTCCGTAAAACTTTCCTAGGACTTCCCCTCAAAATGGATCCAAAGTCCGTCTTTGGTCAGGCCGAGCAGCCACAGAAGCCTGGAGGAGGTGCCGTGGAGGCCCGGCACTTTCTCTTATCCCGTCAAAGTTTGGGACTTTAAGTTTAAGGCATTCTGCATATACTGTCATTATCTAGGGTTGATGAGAGGGTGCTGCCCATATCTATATCTATCTGTGTATATATATATATATATATATATAAGTACAAGTACAAGGCGATATTGCGACACGACATGGATTATAAGGGGGGATTCTGTTGCTCGGCATTCCGAACCCTCTGCTGGAATTGACCTAGTATGGGGTCTTACATAAAAAGTATGGTTTTGGAGTATATCATATAAGGAACCCCAAATCCACGTTCTAATCATCAAGGCCCCTATATCATAGAACCTTATTATAGATCCTTTATAGAACCCTTTGAAGGGACCCTAGTCTAATTACTACTCGTACCGCCCATAGATTATCCAATCCTTCCCGAGGATCCTACAGGTTGGTTTCTTACCGTGGAGCAATGAAAGCAGACCCAAGAACCCGAGAGCAAGAGCCTGGAACCCTGAAAAGGCCCAGAAAGACCCCCTGAAGCCCCCAAAATCTCAAATCAAGCTCCTAAATCCCCGAAACCCTGAACCCCCCGAAGAAACCCAAAGAAGCCTACAGCCTTGCACCCCACCGCGCCGCCTCTCGTTTTACTAGACCGCGACTTTTTTCTCTACCCTTGAAACAATGGCTGCCGCAGGGGTTCGGGTTTAGGGTCGAGACGCGGATGAGCTTTTCGAGCAGCTCAAGCCGCTTAGAATCCCCCAGCATAGCTTCTGAAGCCGTGAGTGAAACTCCCGAACTCTCCCATCCGGGAATCCTTCTCATATGAGGTGGACTGAGCCACTGAACTTAATACACGCAAAAGAACTCAGCGTTCTGAGCCCGACTTCTGCAGGAGCCTACAGTCACGCCAGAGCAGGCGAAGACAGATACCACGATGCAGGCTGGTGGGGCAGTGGCGGGATTGTAGTTTGGGGGCTTTTGGCCTTGAGGAGGTTCAGGGTTCCATCGTTGAGACATTGTGGTTGTTTGAAGCTGAAGATTTCATGACCAGAGGAGTTGAACGGTTTAGCGTTCTGGTATGGAGAAGACCCGAAACGGAGGGCTCCCAAGGTATCGAGGGCAAGATACCCCAGTTGCCCCAAACTCCAAAACCGTCTGAGCCCCAAACGCTGCACCCTGATCCCAGAAGCCCCGGAGTCTACTGAGGCGGCAGAGAGTGCCGAGGTCGTTGCGCAAGAGCTCCCGATGAAGGCGGCATCGCTTTCTCTGAGAATAGAGCCGAGTGGTTCAGGGCTGTTGAGGGTTGTTACTGTGGTATACAGTATTCGGCTCACCGATACCTGACTTGTGTTTTCTTACAAAAAAGTTGAGCACCAAGAAAAGCCGGTCATGAGCTACTTGCGAAGTCCGCAAAGGTGGTTGAAGCGAGGCTTTCCTCAGGTTTCATCAGGCTGTTGGGGTGGACGGGTTGTGGCTTCAGGATTTGGTTAGGGGGAGCGCAGGGTTTAGAGGCTTGGGGTGGCACCTGGAGTGAGGGTTTAGGATATAGGATTTAGGCTTAAGCTTGTGGGCAGGCTGTCACGGTATGTAAGAAAGTTCCGACGGATACAAAGGTTGAGCCCTAAGCTTGAAACCATGCGCCATAATTGACCATACTGCTGTGGGGCTTAGGATAGCAGATGCCGGGCTGAAAGGATTTCCTGTGGCCTTTCCCTTCCAGCCTTTATCAGATGGCAATCTGGGGTGCATTACAGGTTTGAGGCTTGGCAGTTTTAGAGCTGTAACTCAGGATTTATGTATGTGTGCTTGTCGTAGTTGTTTGTTCAGACAATAGTTTGAGTTAAAAGCTAAGGGTCAAGGGTTAATGGCTTCAGGGGTTTCGGGTTTCGGGTTGCAAGGAGGAGATCTCCACCCTCAACGCCCTAAGCTGATCCTGCTCCCGAGACCTGCAACCTGAAGGCCTTTCCTAAGTTACCTCTCTAAGCTGTCATCATAGGGGTTCTGGATAACTACTATTGCTATCCCTGGATAACTCCACCACACCACACCGCACACCCCTGGATACTCTGAGATGAAGGCCCCGTTTATAAGCTCTGCTACATCAGGCTGGAGCAGCTGGAGGCTTGCAGTGCGATTGTCTGCAACTTTCGGGTTTAGGATTTTGGGGCGTGGGGGAAGAAAGTCGCCGGGGAGACTTGAAAGTACGATTTTGTAGTGTCACAAAAAACCACATAAGCAACCGGTTGAATAGGTACGGGATCGCCCTTGGAATGAATCCGAAGAGGGTAGGTTTGCATTGTTGTCCAGGACGTCGGGTTCAAACTGCATGCTGCAGGTGTTAGAGGTGTGCACAGATTTCGGAGTGTTTGCAAGCCTGCCTCTTTTGTCTCGGGTTTTGTTGCTCGCACCCCAAACATGTCTTTTCAGCAGGTCTGGGTAGGACACATGCTAGACCTGGACGTGCATCTAGCTTGGCAGGCTGTGAATTGAAGGGTTTCGAGACCGAAGCTTGATGCTTATTATGATCCAGAACACATTGATGGCTTGTCCCTGAACCCTACACCCTATTAACTCACACAAGCTAGGCCCGACATCCCAAGCCATCGATACAAGCCTTAAGTCGAGGTGGCTACCTTACAGCTGATCAGCGGGGCATGGTGGACAACTTCTTCTTCCCCGACGAGCAGGCCCTGGGAGGGGCGCCTTCCTCGCTTTGTCTGAAATCCTACTTGGAGGATCATGGGACTTAGTAAGTAGGGTTATAACTAAGGTAACTATACTTATAATTACTTATAACCCTAAACCCCCAACCCCTAATGCCAAGCCGTTTCGCAGTGTTTTTGCAATGTCACGTCTGACTCCTTTCGAGGAGCTTGACATGGACAAGTCCATGCCTCTGGAGGACCGGCTGGGAGTCTGTGGATGGGAAACATTACGAAAGTAGTAGTAAGTAGGGGGTGTGGTTTGTGTTCAGAGTTTAGGATTTAGAGCCTAGGGTTTGGAGTGAAGGGCTGGGAGCAGGGAATGGGGCGGCCGGGGTCAAATCTAATCGGGTACCCCGAAGCTCGCACACGTTTTCTTGTATTCTGCGTTGAGTCTGGTGTGGCATTCACTGCAGAGGATGCCGAAGCATTTGACTGCAAGATTGGGGATTTTCAAGGGCTGACCAGACAGCTCTCAAGAGGATCGAAGCGAAATCAAGTAACATTGGGGTCACAATAACTAGAATTATGGCAGTCTAGGATAACCTTTGGTTGAGCTCTATAGTATACCCTAAATCACCGTAGTAGATTGTCGATTAGATCCGTTGAGTTGCTGGAGAGGCTTGGCAATGTCTGTCGCAGCTCTGTCATACAAGAACCCCTAGCCTCGTCGTTTCTCAGAGGTTTTCTTTTGTCGTCCTTCTTCTGATCCTCTTGCTGCCTTAGGCTGCCTGTGACACCCAGGAGATAGCCGAGAGTCCTAGAAGTCGACGTCCTGGCTGTCAAAGGTTTGGTCAGTCATCTTACGGTTCAGAGGTTCTAAGCATTTTTACCCCAATACGTTTAGTGCCTTGGGGAATCTCTTGCAGTTCACAGGTTGCAGGGCCGTATGTTTTAACAAAGAGGTTGGTTTGCTTGTGGGAGGGTTGTTGTTCGGAATTTGCGAGACCGCAGCAGATTTGTGCGGCTGCTTCAAAGCGGTAGCCGTCAAAACACCGTGTTCTACGCTGACAAAGCAAGTTAGACAGTGAGACAGAGCGGATGCGCAGGAATACCCAAGCCGATACCCCAACGCCAAACTCCATAGCTGAACCCAAGCCCTATGATCAAAGCTCAGCTAAGCAGTTGGCATCATGCAGCCCCAAGCCTAAGCAAACGAAGCAACTGAAGAATCACAGGAACACAACCCAGCACCAACATCTGTAAACTTTAAACCTGCACCCCAAACCCTGCACCCTAAACTCTAAACCGTCGCGTGTCATCATCCTTGAGCACTTGGTCTGGAAGAGTTTCAACTTTGTCTTCAAAGTCCAAGTCCAACGACATGACAACCCCGGCCGGTGGCCGCTGGCGGCGCAGCGTCGCCGCTGGCAGCCGCGGTAATGATGGGCGCTTGCGGCATCTCGGAAGAACCATAAAGGTTATCTAGGGCCTAGGGCTGTGGCAGGTTCTGTAACAGGGTTTAGGGCGGTTGACTGGGTTCCTGGCTTGAAGAGTTTAGGGGTAAGTAAGTCTTGTAGTTTCATATTGCGATAAGGATTTATTCGCAACAAGGAGGGCATGAGCTCACTTGCACGCTACTACTACTGCTACTACTACTACTACTACTACCACTACTACTACTACTACTCCTGCTGCTGCTACTACTACTACTACTACTACTACTACTACTACTACTACTGCTACGACTACAAGTGCTACGATCCGTAGGTTTCTTGAAGAACATGTTATGTACCCTGATAGGGACACATGGAAAAGGATGGGAAAAGGATGTTTTCCTTTTTCTGATAGCTTGTCGGTTACGTTCCTAAAGGCTGTGGCCCGGAGCGCGGCAGGCTGTCTAGGTTTCAATCGATTCAGAGTTCTCCTTGGTTTAGTGTTCCGGGGTTTGGGCTTGGGGATGGGGGTTGGGGTATGAGGGCTTTGCTTGCGGTTTACAGACTCAAGGCTTTGAGAGAGCGCACCATGCTTTGCTAGCTTGGAGGCTTCGATCTCGTGGGCTCTTTTGAGTCCTGCGCCTCCTGGCGTGCTTCGACTTTCGGAGCGGGATCGTGGCTTCGGGTTTAGGCTTTAGCACCGCCGAGAATCCTGAGGTTCAAAGCCGCTGCAGGCAGGAACAAGGCTTTTTTAGAGAATCCTTTAAGGTTTGTTTCTGAGTTTTTTTGGGGGGCTCCTTCAGTGAAAATCGGGCTCGTGGGGTTGAGTTAGCCAGTGTGAAGTTTAAGGTTTGAAGGGTTTTTCGGTCTGGTTAAGGTTTTTTTTGTTCAGGGTTTTGTGCGTTTTCCGGTTTGGGGTTTTCGAGCTTCGGCTTAAGATTCAGGGTCTAGGGAAAGGCAGGGTTTCAACCATATTGTGACCATCAGGAGCTCTTTGCATCAGTGGCTTAAGCCGGGGAGGTCCCATCTCCTGAACCCTAGATGCCTGTTCTTGGCGACCGGCGAGATCCGCGAGATCCAGACGATGGCTTAGGGTTTTGAGTCTCGGGGGCTTGTGAAGGCGAAGAGGTGCCAACCGCAAAGGAACAAAGTCCAGTTTCGCGGGGACGGGCAGCTCCTAAACTTTTATCATCGCAAGGCAATATGAAAGCAATGGAACATCACCCAAAGCCCCAGCCTGGCCACCTAGAAACCCTAGACGGATGAGCACTTAAACTGTCGCAACATTCGCAGCCGAGAGGCGCGCCGAAGAGTGTGGTTGAGGCCATCCAGCTTTTCCGACCCACGCTGACACCAGCAGAGGCAGCCCTGTTTGTGCATATTCTGGCTGCTGTGCTAGGCTGTTGGGCTGGAAGAGGTTGAGTTCAGGTCGGTGTCAAGCTTCCGATGATACTCAGAGAGCCCAGCACCATATCAGCACAAACTGCTTGTCGTGAGTGGGGTCTCTTGTATCTTTCAACGAAGATGCCCTATACCGTAGAGGGAATAAGAGGTGAAGTGCGCTCCACGGGTTTACAGACTGAAGGCAAGGCCTCTGTCTTAGGGAGGGATCAAGGGGACTCTTGTAAGCTAGACTATCTACCGGGGTCGTGGTCGTCGTGATCGTTGTGGAGGTCCTGGTAATGGTAGTCCTGGTCGTTCTGGTTGTGTTGATTGTCTTGGTCATTGTGGTCGTGTTCCGACGTACCTGGTGTGTGGTTTTTCATTGTTTGGGGATCTACGCTGGCATAGTTTGTCAACTTCCCCTTGTCTTGGATTGTGCCTTCCAACATCCTTATCAACACCTGTTAAGCAGAGTAAAGCCGCTGCAAACCCTGACGTCCTCTATATCTGACCGCGCAGGTGCTGCAGGCAGGTGCTTTCGGACCCTCGGCTGCTTTTGCTAACCTCGGGGATGACGCGGTTTACAGTTTGGCGCTTTAGGTCTATGAGTCTATGTCCATGAAGGTGATGAGGGTTTAGCGTTGATGGTTCAGTGTTTGCTTTGATGGAGTTCGGGTGTGTTGTAGCAGTTTCAGGGTGTTGAAGTTCTTTGGCTTTGCTGCTGGGGGGCTGCAAGGGCATTCCAGCGAAGGTTTCCAATCTGCTTCAGGCGTGGCAAGCATGGTTCGGATGTTGGGCTTAGGGGCCTCCGTAGAATCGGAACGTGGGACTTACTCTGAGAAGGCCAGAAACTAATCTCCCAGATAAAGCGTCAGGAGTAGCAACGAGGCAAACCAGCACTCCACATCAAATGCTAGTGCTCAGGAGGGGTTTTAGCTAGGGGTAAAGCCGTCAAGAATTCTAGGTGGCACCTACTTCCGTGACATCGACTCAGCGGTGACCGGGCAGCGGCACACCAACGCCTGGAAGGAGGGGGTCAACAATCGAAGGATCCGGAAGGTTTTGTAAGGCTTCCTAGGCAGGCTTCAAGAAGGGTCAGAAGTGCCTGATGTGTTGGTCTACTGAGAGCCTTGCTTTCAACCTGCCCTAAGCCATGACTCCACCGCTGACTTTGAACGGGTGAGGACCTGCCAACCAGCTGGTTCAAAGGCCTCGACATCAAGACCCAGGTCTGGCCAGGGGGTTGTCCCTCTACAACTCGACCATAGCAGAGTTCTCGTATTTTAATATGATATAGCGCATGTTGTGGGAGGTTTCACGTTTTGGCTTCTGTAGGCATAGAGACCCGTTTTTTTGAAGCCGTTGTGCATCAAGGTACTGTAGTCCAGTGATTGTGCTACCCGACCCATGCATGTGAGCAAGGGCCATGCAGCCACGTAGATGTCTTGGAGCCCCGCACGTGGGCGTTGCGGGATAAGCAGCACATCCAAGCTTTTGCATGATTGAGATTTTCTGGAGCATCACAAAGCAGTTCCTTAAGCAGAGTGTGGCCGTAGTGCTTTGCAAATCGTGATTATACAGTTCGAAAGCACACGCCTTTTTCTCGCTCGTCATTCGCTGTCGTTTCATTCCTTCCAGATGCCTCTCACCGAACTCTTCGAAATCAGGCGAGGCGATTCTTGGCGTAAAAGATGAAACTGAATATATAGGTTATGGTCATGTGATGAATGTTGACAATATGGTGTTCCGCGTACTGGGTGCGAGCTGCCAGGTGGCGCGCCCCTGGAAGGACTACGATGTCACTTGGCTTTGCTTTATTATGCTGCAGCTTGGGACAGCTGCAAGAAGGGTGCTGAGGAGTTTTCCGAAGCAAAACTTACCTCTCTTGGTCCCAAGATCGTTTTTGGGATGTTTAGCCTCGCAGACGGCCGAGTTCAACAGCCATGATGAAAGCTTGTTCTCGGTACGGGTTTGGATATACGAGGGCGGTAGACCCCTGAAGGCTGCTGGTTAGGATACGGGGTGTTGGGTGTTGGTTTCATGCTCCGGATCGAATGTCGACTACGAAGCTGACAGCGTTTCCTTTGCCCAGGCCTCGGTAAACAAGTATGGCGCCAAGTGCGGCAACACGCTCGAGGACGGAATAGTTGAGCTCACGTCACAGGGCCTCATAACCCGAATCATCGTCGTTTTCAATACAGGAGCCGCGATCATCAGTAGAGTGCGTCCTCGTGATCTCTATACCTCAAGCCGTCGTCCAACTACTCGGGGACTCACGACTCCATTTATTGGATTCCTCGATGCAGTTTTTGTTTGCTGCACTGCTATGTTAAGATTGCGCCAGGCATTGAAAGCACCCAAACCCTGAGTCCTCATTCAGGGTTTAGGGTTTAACTTAAAGTCGCAACCCGAAACCGATCGCAGTAGCAATTCGCGACCCTCGTGAGGACTGGGAGAATGCTGGGTGGATCGTTGCACAAGATCCGCCCCTTTGCAGCATCCTTCGCTATGAGCCATAGTAGTGCTGTCGATTGAGGTGGTGGTAAACAACATGAACAGTAGCAACAGTAGTAATATCTTTGATACTGCAACACCGCAGCAAATTAGCACAATTGTCACAATACGCATTGCAGTGACTGGAAAAGGGTCGGTCATGTTGCTGCCGCAGTGATCATGGAAGTCACATTCAGAGCAGCAGAAATGTAATGTCAGCATTCAGAATATGCCGACAACACCATTCAGGCACACCCGGCAAGAAGCTTCATGTTGGCATGGCTTGCAAAGCAATGTCAAACCAATCACGCCATGGACCCGAGAGCCCTGCAAAAACGGGGCTGAAGTCCCGTCACGCAGGACCAAGGCATTTCTTATCGTCATAGTTGCGTCATATCAGATTCACAGGCGTTGATCAGACGTGTTTATGGCTTTGCAAGGCATTCAGATTTGAGCCTCAATCCCACATGCCAAACCTAATGCCTGTAACTGAAACCTTCGGCTCTTCAGGTATGGATGGTTTCAGTGGTATTGTCGCTTTTTCCTTGGTCGACGCACGGATGACGACGAACGGCAAATCAAGCGTTGGAGCAAGGTCTGTGGCCCAACAGGCGCAGCGGAGGTTTGCTTTAGGGTTTAGAGAGTTTAATATAGGGGCCGAAATAAGTACCCATACCGTTTTGGGGGTTCCTAATTATACTTGTAGTATAGTGGGCCCCAAAACCCTATTCCAATTATTAAGGCCCCTATATTGGAGTTGTGGGCTCAGCCAGGGCCTGGGTGCACACTCGTCATACAAAAGTAAAGGATGCAGCTTGCTTCGCATGAGAAGGTTTTGTGCTACAGGTGGCTTGTGGTGTGGATGCTTCAGTTGAGGCTACGCTCTAAAGGAAGAGTGTGGAAGCTGTTAGCAAGCTTGGGGTTGAGGTTTGCTGATAAGGGTCTGGGTGCAGTAACGAGGACGTCGTCGTCGAAATGGTAGCAGCAGCAGTATAGTAGCAGTAGCCCTAAACCCTAAACCCTAAACCCTAACATCGCTCCATTGGAGCTCTCCAGCTGTACTGCAGATGGCAAAAGGAACCCTAACATCGGTATTGGTATTGGTCTTGGCATGGGGAGGAGGAGCCAGAGCTGCAGCAGAGGTCCTGGGAGGATCCAAAAAGTAGATCCCTTAATGGGGGTGCCTATAAAGTACCCTGAGTAGTATAGGGGCCCCAAATTTTTGGGATCTACTTTCTAGATCCTCCTGGGGGTCTGGGTATTGAGACTGATTGAGGTCCATCGCAAACGAGACAGAAACGATGGCTCCCAGGCATTGAACTCCGGGCTGGAGCAGGGCCCTTCTGAATACCCTTTAAAACCACAGGTTAACGGAGTCAACTTAGTATTTTCCTTATATATAATTAGGCAAATATACATATATATATATATATATATATATATAGAAATATATATATATATATATATATATATGTATATATATAGAAATATATAGAAATATATATATATATATATACATATATATATATATATATATATATATATATATATTTGTACTTATATCGAAATGAACACCCTATGAACCTCCTTGTACACGTTTCTCAACCCACTCGATAGCCGAGCGCAGGGCGATGGAAAGGGAATTTGGTTGCCAAGTGTACGGCGCCCGGACACTGTTGAAGTGGGTTGCGAGAAGTCCCGGTGGTCGGTTTTGAAGGTTTGTTTCGAGCTTTTAGGTGGGGCGCGACACGGCATTCCACAGCCTGCAAGAGGATGCAATCGGGATCCAGTGTGCAAGCTATGGAAGAATTATCTTGCATCGAGTATTGCTTGTCAGTACTCGATGACATCGCCCAACGGGCCTGATCTGTGTGACCCAGAACCTGAAACTTAGCTAACCCTGATGATCTCGAAAAAGGAGATCTCTAGGGAGCAGAGAGATATCCCCCAATCCGGACCGATTTGTGGCAGCACATTAGTCAATGCCAGGTGAGAGCTCCACAGACCTAAACCTTCACCCTCCCTCAGCAGAATTCCGACCTCGAAGAAGAGGAACACCCCATCTTGTCTTGCAGCAAGCAGTGGTCTACGTGTACGATGGCTTTGCTGATTAGAATGCAAAGACTGGTGCTACTCATAATGGCAAATGCAACCGTGCTGTGGCTTAGTGGCGAGTTTTCGCAGGTGAAACCTGGAACCCATACGGTCTCTGGGCCAGGAGAGGGTTTGGAGCTAAACGGGCTTGTCAAGACATTGTCACACTAACCAAAACACCCCAAGCCTTGGAAGAGAGAAAATCTCGTGCGCAGTTTGTTCCACTCCCTAACTAGAAGACGTAGTAGTCGCTCGAGCCAAGCACTGATAACTCCCTCCAGGAACCGGGATCCCTAAGCTGTTGATCCGTCCAATCCAAGCTGTGAGGTCTGAAAGCCGGTAGGCCTTACAATGACGCCAAGGCGGCCGTTCAGGATACAGTAGGATCTCTCCTAAGCTGACGGTTAGGGGACGGGGTTCAGCTTGCGTGGCGTTCAAGCGTTTTGAGAGCTCTATGAGGATGATTCTTTGCAAGAATTAGGGGTACCTTCTTGGGGATCGTTATGTTGCGGATACAGTATTTATGATCTATCTCTCAAATCTGTTTGGCTGTCTAACTATAACTATCAATCTATCTGTCTGCCTATTTGTTTGTCTGTCTACCTTTCTATCTATCTGTCTGTCGAGCTAAGTGTGTATCTACTTATTCCCGGCCTATCTATCTGCCTATGTATCCATCTATCATCTATCTGACTATCTGTCCATCTATCGGTCTATCCATCCGTCTAGCTATCGACTGTATCTATCTACGTATCCGTTTGTCTGTCTGTCTGTCTGTCTGTTTGTCTGTCTGTCTATCCGTTTATATCTTGTATGTGTATCTGCCTATCTGCCTATCTACTTCTCTACCTAGCTATCTATCTGTGCATCCACCCACCTACTTAACTCTTCTGGTGCTTGCTAGCTTCTCATACTACCGCAGTTCGGGACATGGTACTGCAGCTACTATGAGGCGGCAAGACTGGTCGGAGCGGGTGGGGCGCCCCTTTTCCTATGCGCGCACAATATACACCCTAAACCACAAACCCCACACTCTAAAGGCCGAAAGCGTGAAAGCACCCGAAAACCCTCAACCTTAAGCCCCTGAAGCCCTAAACCCTGAACCTTAAACCCCCTAAGCTTCAAGTAAAGCTACACTGCCAGGTGGCCCCCGCGGTCCGCCAGTCCCTGCTTCACTGGGGGTACGAGCTGACAGCCGAGGCCAAAATTGGCCAGCGTTTCGTACTGTGGGGGTCTGAATAGTTGCTCATCGCATTTCCTTGTATTCCCCATATAAGTATACTTGTTATACTTTAGAATGCACCCGATAACCTTATATTTTCAGTATTGGTGCCGGTATAGCATGTCCGTGAGTTCGTTGTTTAGGGCTTAACGCTGATGAGAACTCCCAACCTTAAAAGCTGTCAAGCTTTAACCCACTATTCACTATGTCATAATGGACCTTGCCCTCTGGCCCGACATTGCATGCCAGGATCTACGGGAGCGGAGCAAGGCAATTCTCAAAGGCTCCTTGACTCCTAAGATGTGGGTCGGGTCGTCGGGTGGGGTTGGGTAAGGTGGGGCGGGGTGGAATGGGAAGTTGCACATCTGGATAGGCATGCGTGCGCTCAGCAAAGGTATCTAAAATGCGTATACGCACGTTGAGGTACGTACATTATGTATATGTGCTGTACATGCACATGCATATGTATGTGTATGTGAACGCGTAGATGTAGATAGGTATATGTACATGCTTTTAAGTGTATGTTTATGTGTATTTATGTACCAGTGTATGTATGTTTATATGCATCAGTACATGCATAAGTATAAGTACGTATATGTTAATATGTGTGTGTGTATGTGCATATGCGTATGTCTATGTGTATGCGTATGCGTATGGGATATGTACGGGTACAGGTACAAGTATGAGTGCAGGTGTATATGTATAAACACAGGTCTTTGTGCCTGTCCTGTGTGTGTGTGTACGTATATGTGTATGTGCATGTACATCTACGTTTACAGGCAGATGTATGTGTAAGTGTATATGTATATGAGTATTTATGCATATGCAAGCGTATATGTAGACGCATATGTATACGTGTATAAGTAAGTTTAAGTGTGTGTGTGTATATGCATGCACATGTACAATGTATACTCCTAAAACCATTGTGTAACTGTGTGTGCGTGAATATGTGTACGTTGTGTGTCTGCTGTGTGTATGTATACATATGTCCGTGTGTGTGTGTCTGTGTGCGTGTCTGTATACATAGGTAGTTGCATACATACTTACCTGCCTCACCTACTAACCTGCCTACCCAGCTACCTACCTACTGACCTACCTACTTACCTACCTACCTACCTACCTGCGGTGTGTGCGCAGGTATAGCTGCACATATGCAGATCGATAAATGGTTGTTCATACCTGTACATATATCTATACCTAGACCTACACATTATACGTACACATACACATATTTGTGTATAAACATATACACAACAACCCATATGTATTCAGACATAGTCTGCATATGCATTTCTTTGTGTTCGTGTTGACAGCAAAATACCAGGCCTCCCAGTGGGCCCTTTTTCCAGGTTCCTTTTACAGTTACCCAATACCAAACAGGGAGCCCTTTTCATTCCTAGGTTGCTGCACATCCTATTCCTAGGTTCCGGCGCATATGCTATGCCGCGGGAACAGCTCCGCTCGTTGCAAGCGAAGGCTCGGAGTTGGTGATCTCGTCTATAGTCATTATGGTTCAAAGGGGGGTATAGTCGTAACGTCAGATCCGAGTTTAAAGCCTTTGAGTTCAGGGCTTTAGGGTTTAGGGTTTACCGTTTAGGGCTATCCATGGGCCCTGATCTGCAGTGCAGAATGCAGTACCATCTGCAACGCCGAATCATAATTTCAAGATATGCCAGATGCGTGAAGTCACTTGATTCAGGAGTCGTTCCACAACGCGTTCTTTCCAGGATCTTCAGCAGCGAGCACCATGACAGTCCATGACTCCATGACTTGCCAGTCCTTCCAATGTGCTTCCACTCGAGTTGCATTTTTGCACTGTCAAGTCTAAGCCACGAAGCCCTCGCCATATCATCTGTTGCCAGGTTAGGTGGAAATTTACAAGCCGCTTTCTAAAGACCTCTGCACATGCATCCGTACCCAATTAACACTTCACGGCCTTCCTACACCCAGAACCAGCCCCCCCCCCCCCGGCTGATGGCGTGCGAAACCATTCGGAGATCCGAGCCTGCAAACTTGACTGCTCTTCTATTGCGAAACGGAGGCAGGACCCGAAATCTTTCGATATTTTAGCCAGGACCTCTCTGAGGGCACCCAGAGACTCCCTTTAGGGTTGAAGCGTTTCAGGGCTCCGGCTTCGTATTCTGAGCTGTCGTCACCAAGTCTTTCGGGTTTCTCAGCTCCAGTCGGTTCCCTGATCAGCAGATCTTTGGGTGGGCAGCTTACTGTACGGGGTTTAGGGTTTAGGGTTTCGGGTTTAGGGTTTCGGGTTTAGGGTTTAGAGTTTCGGGTTTTCAGGCGAAGCATGTTCAACATATCTCAGATGTGTTAAGTTCCCGAATGAAGGAATCGTCCTCGAAAGAGTCCTAGGTGTCCTTAACAAGGGACCCGGAAGTCGTAAATGGGAGTTTCCGAAAATTAGGGGTACCTTGTTGGGGGTCCTTATAATCGGGATCCTACTATTTAGGGTACTCTATTAGGGTCCCCTGTTTTCGGAAACTCCCAAATAGCAACCCCGGGCAGTGGTGCACAGCTGATTCTGAGCAAGAGCCCACAACCAAGGGATTTTCGAACTTCCCTCATGATCCAAAGCTGAGAGCGAAAGGCCAAGCTGAAGCGCCCGGCGGCAGCAAAGCCCGGCAAGCGTAAGGCGGAGTAGGCCGGGGTTTCCAGTTTCGGGTTTGCATAGTTACAGTAATATGGGAGTTTCCGAAAATAGGGGACCCGCATATGGTACCCTAAATAGTAAGATTCTTATTATAAGGACCCCCAAACTAAGGTACCCCTAACTTTTCGGAAACTCCCATAACTGATGGTGATCGTAGTAGTGAAGTCTTGGGGTTTACGGTTCCAGGCTTAGGCCTTGGGGAGGAGATTGAGGTGTCGGGTTTAGCGTTTCAGGTTGGGAGTTCAGGGGTTTGGGTGCGGGGATGTGGGGTTTCGGGCATAGGGTGTGGGGAATCCACGGCCTCGGATTTGACTGAGGTTGCGGCAATTTAGGGTGCCGGGTTGTGGAAGCTTCGGGTTTCGGCTGCGAACTTCCGGCCGGATCTCTGCCGGGCATGTCCAGAGCGCTAGACAGGTTGAAAAGGGTGGCGCGGCAGAGGGCTTCATATTCTATCTGGGGTGGGGTTATAGAGAAACTTTGGTGAGTACTTTTGGAAAAAACCTGACCCCCATAAAAGAATGCAACGAGTGGGATTCCTTCTATAAGTGCACCCCCCCCATGAACTTCCTGCCTATGATGGCCGGGATCCTGAGCCCGTGTTTCATGGTATTTAGGGTTTGGAGGGTTTAGTTTAACTAGAGGTTCAGGGCTTAGGGTGTATGTATAGCACAGAGTGTCAATAATCAGTACCGGATGTCCGTTAGGTCCATACATCTGCCTAAAGGCCTTACCCCGCAACCCAGCTGCATTGCTGGCAATGACACCCTGCAGCGTGCAGAGTCTCAAAGCTTCTCTTTATGTGATCATGTAACCATGTAGCCCCCAAGCTCCTGGAGTTGTCGGGGGTCCTGGAAAGATAAGTTGTTTATCTCCATGCGCCCTGTGCAGAGGTTCGCCTACGCGACAATCTCGCACTGGCGCGCACTTGTGCGCCTGGCAAAACAGAAGAGCCGTGAGCCTGTCCCAGCTTCAGAGTTTCAGATGTCAGATATTGCGGGTATCAGATGCCCACAAAACCCTTTACTAAGCCTTCCCGTGGTTTTAACCATATTCCGTGCCTGTGTGTTCCCGTGGAGGACGATGTCCACTGGAGCGACTAGAACGTACTGTCAGAGAGGTTCAGGGATCATGCAATAGGCTTCAGTTTTAAACAGCTCTGAGTCAGGGCCTCGCGTCATCAGTTGCATCGGAAGCGCGTTGGATGTGGCTCAATCCCTTAGATTCGACCAGAAAGCCTGTGTTTTTGGACCTTCACCGTACTTTTCAGGCAATGCTTGGAGGAAATGGGATTGCAGCTTGATGCTCAGGGTTTTGGGGGCCTAGATTCGGGGATTGATTGTCAGTGCTGTTGGAATTTCGATTTAAGGACAACTCTTTTGTCTTGTCTCCATTAAGCCTGGACCCTTCCTAAACCGTACAGAGGAACACATCAATCCCACAGAAAGCTTAACACTCTCACGCTCCCTACATTCAAAACCCCCAAACCCTAAACCACTGCAGGATCACATCTCGGAGCTACGTGATGGTGTCCTTCGTGCGCGTTCGGGGCCTCACTTCCTCTCTGCGTCAGCTGTTGAATTTTGCTTGTGTGTTTTAGGATTCCTGCAAGGGTTTCTGCACGGTTCTTTTTATGGGTTCCTTTAAACGGTTTAGGGTTTGGGGTCCTGGAAGGGCCCCCTGAGGAGTTGTAAGGGTTAGATTGGGGGCTTAGGGTTTTGTTAGTAGCATGCTTAGGTATTTGCTGGGGAAGTGTTTTGGGTTTGTCGGTTCAGGATGTATCGCTTGAAGGTTTAGGGTTCGAGTCTAGTGCCAGGGGTTAGCTTCTTGCATGTGGGACTGCCATGAAGCAGAGAACATGGTGGGAATTGCGAGTGTAAGGGTTTCGGGCAAACTGGATCTTGTTGTTCCGGCGGGAACCTCAGCCAGAAGAGCCAAGTTGCCTTCACCGTCGTGGCTGTGGGCATCTGCCTTTACTACTACAAGGAGCGACTTGTCGGTTATCCGGAGTGGCAGCTGAGTAGCCGGAGTCCGCATGGCAGAAAAAAGGCCAGTAGATGAGGCTGATAAGGGTTCTGTAAGGGTTCCTTGAAAGGGTACTATAAGGGTTCTATCAGGATTCCGTTAAAGGGTACTATAAGGGGTAGACGAGGCTGTCGTAAGAGTTGCAGCTGGGAGCACCGTCGACGCCGTCGTGATCGCAGCAGGGACCTTGCCGAAGGTGGTCTGCGCCGTCGTAACGAGGGTTTAGGGTTTAGGGCGTGGTAGCCAGGACAGTCCCACCTGAAGATGTTCCCAAGCAGGAGCCAGACAACTGAGGAGCCTTGTCAATCCCAACCGTACCGTCCCCTACTATAGGGGCCTAAATAACTACCTATACCATTTTGGGGGTTCCTTATTATGATTATAGTATAATGGACCCCAATTTCCTATTCTAATTATTAGGGCCCCTATATTAAACTCCTGAACCAGCTTTGCCTCACTGCATTCTGCCGAGGCTCCCTGCGAAGCTCCTCAGTCTTGAAGCTTGCAGACCCCTACACCCTAAACCCTAAACGCATTTGAGTCCCTATAAAGCCCACAAGGCGAAAGCCCAGCGAACCCCTGAAGACCCCCAAACTCATAAGGGAGTTTCCGAAAAGATAGGGGGACCCTAGTTTGGGGTCCTTATAATAAGGATCCTACTATTTAGGGTACTATCTTGGGGTCCCCTATTTTCGGAAACTCCCATATAAGCGTTGCCCCAAGCCTGCAGGAGCTGACGACAGCCTTGGAGGCTCCGGCTCAGGCTGGCGACATGGGCGCTCGCGACCCAGTTGCTTACCTTTGGTTAGTGCGGAATGGAGGAATGGGGTACCAGAGGTAAGGTTGTTTCCGTTTCTTTCGGGCTTCGCCTCAGGAGTTAAGGCTTTCGATAGTTTAGAGTTTCGAATTTGGATAGCTGGCTAAGGGCGTAGCTTTGTTTGTGTTGAGGATGTAAACTGCAAACATAGGAGCAGTTTCTATGACGGTAGCTGGCACCGATGGCGAGAGTAGTTGCACAAAGCACCAGCCTTGCAGATTGTAAGAACTATTCCGGTGGGCTCCCCAGTATGACTACAGTACAGTATACCCCCAAGCCCTTTTCTGGCCTGTACGTACTGTACAAGGAACAGTAGCAGAACCGGTCAAATGGCCGCCTTAGCGATAGCGACGTTCAAAACGGAAAAAAGGCTTTTGGACACGTGCACGCCAAGCAACCGGTATACTAGCAATGCCAAGAAGAAGACATAGTGCCAGTGATTTCAGTATCAGCAAGGGCGATAATGTCTATCGTAAGAAGAGAAGGAAACGTGCTGCACTAAGAGATCCGGGTATTGCGATGCATTCTTGTAGGAGAAGGAAGCAGTACAAGGAAGGTCAGTATTCAGCTCGTGCCCAATCACGGGTTGCCTGGCTCATCCCTGTCCCCAGACCTTAAACCCTCGCCCTGAAACACAACAATGAAGATGGTAGTGGTAGTTGTATTGACAGCAACCAGTAGTCAACATCTTCGTTATCATCACCATCACCGTCATCATGCTGCTTCAGGCTGGTATCATACCAGGACATCGCAATCATCAGAATCATCATCTCAACATCAACAGCAGTACACATAGTGAGTGTAGCAATAGGTACGTACTGCTAGCAACAATAGCACACTAAAGCAAGGACTGACTAGACCCTAAACCGAGAACCCTGAGCTGAACAGTTTCCGGATCCGGGGCATCGGCGCTGCCTCCTACAACCTCTGCAGGGCTTAGGTTTCGGACATAAGCAGCATCCCAGACTTTGATTTAGGGTTTTAGGGTTCACGTCGCGATGACCCTCAACTCTTAAACCCTAAACTGTAAACCTTTTGACAGCCGTGCGTGCTTTGAGCTGTGTCTTCCCATGGAAGCAGGCCCCATGGTCACATCGCCGATGAGCGAAGCTGAACGGGCACGACCCCTCAATCCTAAGCCTCGCGAAGCCTGAAGCCGTGATCCAGGAAGTCTATAGGGTTCCGTAATTCCAACTGCACTGCAATATACCCCAAGACTCCCTTGTAACTTTTCAGGCTCCAATATGCCCAGCACATCCTAGAGCACAAGGAAGTGTAGCGAGGTCAGCAGCAAACACCACAGAAGCTGGCGTAGGCTCACGGAGCAACGCAACACAATGGTAGTTACAACGACCGAATAATAAGAACACAGTACAAGCGTTTCTGGCATAAAGTTGGCATAAAGATACAGAGCAAGCAGCAACAGAATCTGATATTCTAGATACATTGGTATACCGAGCTTTATATATATATATATATACACACATAGTTAGGCACTTGCATGCATGCATACATATGCACACACTCTCTTTTGACTGTGTTTCATTTCTCTGCATATGCACAGCCGCATGTTCCCACGCACGCATATGAACCTGCAGAGTTCTTAACATCCCGAAGCTTTAGACAGAGCATGGCCGCGGTGCTCCCCAGCGTCCCGAACGTGGCGGGCCTTCTCCACTGGGCATGCGGCCGTGGGCAGGCAGAAGCTCCTGCTCTGCTGGTGCCAAAGCGTTAGAGTGTAGGGTGTAGGGTTTAGGGGGTTCAGGGTTGAGGGTTTAGGGTTCAGGGTTGAGGGTGTAGGGTTTAGGATCTAGGGTTTAAGATTTAGGGTTTATTAGGGTTTAGGATTTAGGGTTTAGGGTCGGTCGTTTGTTCGGCAGCATGAGTCTAGGGCTTGAGGTGCACAGAGGGCGTGAGGTTTCCATCGCATGTGCACTTGCTTGCATGAATCCTTCTAGAACCCAAGTCCTGAACCTTCAGCAACCAAGCTGCAGCAACATACTAGTAGTCGCACACTCGGGATTTTGGCCCCACCGCGGCGCCCAAGCAAGCAAAGCAAGCAACCAATATTATATAAGGTTATATTGTATCGCATTATACCATATCTATTTTACTAGTTATTAACTTGTTTTATTACATTATAAGGTGGCTC